TGCCTTATAAACTCAAATTAGAAAAAACATTTACTTATTTTTTATCTGGAGTTTGGACAATCAAGTTCTCTGTGATTATTTAATCATGGATACATTAAAAACTAATCTCTCCCAAATAATATTAGAGAGCTTTCTCACGTTGCCATATTTTTTTTTTAATTCATCCGAATCCCTTGTTTGGTTAATAAGTTCTTTTAAGTTTTAATAGAACAAAACTTCTTCACTAATCCATGGCTTTTTTTTAGCATATGATGTTAATTTTTTATGAACATTCATAAAACTATGTTGTTAATTGGGATTTAGATTCTCAAAGTATAATAATTATCTATTATGTGAACACATATTTGGCTATCGACCTGTTGGTTCAAGTGAAAGGAGTTTGATTTCTCTTAAACAAGATTTTGAGTTTAAGTCTTGTTAACGGAAAAACAGGTGCTGGGAGAGATGGAAAAATAGGCGTTGAGAGAGATGGAAAAACAGACATTGGAAGAGTTTTCCCTTAATAAGATCCAATGTAACTTGATTTCAGATTAATTGAAATCTAATATGGTTACCATATATTAAAAAGTTAATACAAAAAATGTGAACACATGTCTGATAAAAGAAATAAGGGAAAAATGAAAGCAATTATTTAACCAGCAATATAATAACATCATAAAAGAAAAAAAAAAAAAAAGGGAACAAAGTGATGTAAGAGGCTTTGGAATTTTTATTCGAAAAGCAAAAGGTACCTTTAAATTATATTATCAAAGGAATATCTTTGTCCCAAATGTCATTCATATAACTTTCTATACTTTTCAATTTTTTCTATGGTCATTTATTTGGCTCGACATTGTGGCCCTACCTCCTCAAAATACCCTATAGATATTTGTGTTTTTTCTTTGCTCAGAAAATTATTTATTTATTTTTTAAAGATTTAAATATTAGAAATTCAAGAAGCAAATAAAATGATATCCAATTCCAAATCATACATCTACATGTAATTTAAGGGCATAAGGGCATTTTACTTGATTTCCCGCTTGTTATTATAGAGTACTGTTGTGTAGGTCGCAGAAGAGACAAAAAGGAAATTGAACTAGCACCAATTATGTGATATTTGTGAAAATTGTTTACATAAGTTTTAATATAAAACTTGCATTTAACCTAAAATACAATAGGTAGAGTTTTTATATTTAACTCACATACTTTTTCATTATATACTTAATTAGGTACAGGGCTATTATGAATGTTTGGTATCATTATGTGATTTAATACGCCATTCTACGTGCAGGCTGAATATTGATTTTGAATCATGTTAGGTGAACTAAAAATGGACTTTTTAAAAAAAGGGTCTAAACTCTGTCATGTAAAAATTGTGCATTTAAGTTGTAACACAAAATTTGCATCAAACTTAAAATCCATTACTGATGGGTGGAATAATCCTTTTTATATTTAACTCATATATTTTTTTATTATATATTTATGTGAGATTTTCTCACTTAACATCTAACACAAATTATGTGATATCAAGTGTATTAAATCACATAACTTGTAATAAAAATTGTTAATCACAATTTTTTTGGTCTTTTTTTGGCCTTTTATATATCTTTTAGCCAATTACCTTTTCTTTGTTAATAAACAATATTATTTGTTGAAAGGAAAATTTGTTGATGTGGTTATATTCCATTGCCTAAATCTGCCTATGCAAACTTCGACATAAGTTGTATGGAATATTCAAGTTTTACGTCCAATATTT